ATCAAGTTTTTTTAGCTTTCAATGTATTTTTTTTATACAAAGACTCTCAATGTAATGGAATTATATAAGCAAAACTTTGACATTTGTGCTCGATAATAGTCTTTCGTGTTTAGGGTTTAGTCGACAATCTCCGTTTTCGAATGTAAAGAGTATACACCCCCGTATACTCTTCGTAAGCAAATGACCGGTTCGGATGCAGATAAATACTGTTATTACGCATTCTTATCTCACTGATGCAACCTCGCATATAATCTGTGTCGATACGTAGCGACGAGGAAATATAAAGTGAGGCGCAAGATCGTTTCTTAATATACTTCATCCTGTAATTGAACTTTTTGAGTCATAAATTTAAATATATTTTGCGATAAGATTGTGAAGAAATATTACTAGTCTTGTGAATGTTATCATGTTTCTTAAATATAATTGTGTATAATGCGTCGTACCATCGGTACCGTTCATCTCGTTCCTGAGTTCCTTGCATTAAAGTCTGATTATTTATTATTGTTATTTATAATGAAGGTTACTCGATACGGGAGATAGAAAAGTTCATTTCTTCATTGAGAATCTAACCCGGGGTTTCAAAAACGGCGACACTTAATCTATTTTATACCATGACTTATACTTACTGTCAATAATGTCAGTCGGTAAAAGGTTACGTTTAGTTACTTGCAATATGTGAATCGAACAAACTTACACGCAATTATTAAAGATGTCACATCAATGCTACTTTAGTGTTATGTATCTTATTGCGTTACATTTACGTAAATTTATATCTTACTTTTTTAATCTATATAATACTAAAATATGACTCATCAATTAAGTGCTTGTGAAGTTTTCATTAGTGCTTTTTCAGGATGGATTTGCGTTAATCAAACTGACATATATTATACGAATCTATATCAGTTACTTACATTGAGACTACTGATAAAAGCAATAAAAGAAAGCGAATCGAAGTTATAGAAAGAGATTTATAAAAAAAAATTTTTTTTTTTAATTTTTCGCTAACCTTTAAAACTATTATAAAAATTCTCACATGAGAAATTTTAAATATTTGTGATACTTATCACACCTCGACCGTACTGCCTCACATACATTTATCTATTTTCACTTAATAAAAATATCATAATATCGATGATGTCGGGTAAAACTAAAAAATCAATTTAGTCCGTCAGTCCGAAAAAATTAAAATCTATTTAGTCCGTCAGAAAAATAGAAAAACATTAGATACATTTTTTTTTGCTTCAATTTAACAAGAAATGGCTTAGATAATATTAGTAAACATCAAAGTTGAAGTGTGGGGGCTCGGAGAGTATAGAGGTCTGACGTCATGTGACATTTTATTTCAAAGTATCCCCGTTATTTATTTATTACGCAAAAAATATAAAAAATATGTGTTCAATATTCTTTAATAATCCACCCGACGGACAGACAAACAAAACTTAATCATCATCCCAATCGCAAGCAGAAACTAAATTTAATGTAATTTTTGAAGTGAATTGGGTAATATTTTTCTTCTATTGCAAAATTTGTTATAATCTCGTTTTTAACCTATTGACTTAACTATGTTCTTTGTTCCTTATTCCGTGATCTCTTAATAAAGGCGTAAGAGCATTCACATGTAAGTAAGACTTTATTTTTTATTAAATCAAAATTTTCTAAGAACGAAATCGTTGGCTATGTATCAGTGTTTAGGAACTTCAAAGTAATTCAAACATAATGACTATTTCAAAACTTTACTTGTTATAATTTTATTAAAAACGACCGCCAACTTTGTCCTTTTGCGTCGGAAATTCGTCAACTCCGTTATATAGTCGTTATTACAAAATGTTCGTGACCTCAATAATATCAATATCAATCGAGCTGATGGATTTAGAATTCTCAATGCAATCGGAAATGTTAAATGAATTAATGGGATCGAGATCAGAATACGATATACAGCAACAAAATAGCAAATTCCTTCTTGTTTCTCCTCAGTTTGATTGGAGATTGTCAAATTTTTGTGACAATTAATAAATTAAGCGAAAAGAAAACATTAAAATCAAGAATAAAAGTACACTAAATGATAAAAGAAAACTACGTGCCTATTATTTCTTTATGACAGTAAATTAAGTATCTAACGTTGCTTTATGACTGTAAAAATCTGCACTCAGAACGTTAAATCCTATGTGATTAGGAATCCCTTGAATGCTTTTTCTATTTCAATGATTTATGTGTTTATTAAAAAAAGGTTATTAATAAAAAACAAAACTTTTTACTATTGAAAAGCCTCCAATATGTTACAATCTTTGTATGTCTCACTAATGGAATATTGTCTTTGCCTGTATCACTTTTATCACTAAAATAAGCCTAGTTAGCTAGTCGTGAGTACAGACTGTTACGTGACTGATCCTGGTGCTACTTATACAATGCCCCTGGGTTTATATAACTCTCTAGCTCATTGGTCAATTCTGGACAAGGTTGCCTATCAATTGTATTTTTTTAAAGTAATGGTGGACAACTATAAATGAGCACCGTTAATTATCCATCGCATTAAGCACATCCCTGTTTGTCAGTTTATCTTTGCAATTTGATACGATTAGCGGCAATGTCATTGCTAATCCATAGTCTATGCTTTAGTCCAGAGTTTCTAAAGCTTGGACTATGGATTACCTTTTATCTCAAAGTCATATAAATTTTTAACCGTCTCTTTATTGATAAAGACTATCAACGTGATTTTGGAGGAATAGTCAAAACGCAAACATGCTATAAAATAAAAAAAGTTGCTAGTATTTTTTTAAATTAAAAGTTGTTTTCTTTTCACAGAGGTGGAGGTCAACTTTGTTTTGTGTAGTACTTATTAATGATAATATATTTATTGATAAAGCATCAATACGGTCAGGATTCGGATATTAGAATATTCCCCAGATATTTAGCTGACGAGAATTGCTGATAATGTTGCAACTATCTGAATTATGCAGCTCTAGTTCATACCATTGACTCTTGGTCAAATTAGTATGGATGCATTTCATACTTTGTGGCAAATTCTCAACGCCGGAGATGCGTAATACCAGAACGATAATTATTCATGAAATTTGGAACATCATCGATAAATTTTATACTGTATTGTTATTAAGATAGAGATCAGTGGATGAACTTTTAAAATCACTTTCATAGTCACTTCATGATATTTTAAAAATGTAGAACTAAATGGATTTAGGTTTTCGGCACAACCGAAATAAATAAGATTTCCAAAAGCTATTTCGACTCATTAAGTAATTGGTTACTTAAGTCAAGGATAAATATTTCAAATTTTTCTGAAAATTTCACTGATTCAGATTAGAAAATTCAAGCTAAACTTCATTCTGGTCTGAATATTACGTGTTTCATTAACGTCTTAATAAACGCTAATTCATATACTGAACTATTAAAGATTATTCAATATTTAAAATAAAAATATTGCTTGAAAAACATTTCGTTATTCAACCCATATCTACCTCTTCCTTGATGCACCATTCTTTATATAAAACAACTTCTGAATTTTTTATCTCTAATATATTCAATTTGAGTCAACCCTTTGACAGATTGTTAGTCGCTTGTTTCAGGATTCCGGCAGACTCGGTGGCCTAGTTTCGAAGAAATAATAGCGTAACAACATTGTCGCTTCTAACTTGCATACAATTCATGTAGATATATCGATCTTTACTATCTATCAATACATATACATTTAAAATTAATACTACCTTTCTAGCTTACACAAGTAATCATTATAAACAAACAAAAAACTCCATGGCAGAGCTGTTCCTGCGTTTGACGAAGCATCTATGTAATAAAGCATCACTCACAAAGTGGCTGACTGAAAATTAATTTCAATATGTAGTTTGAAACTTTCAAATGAATCCCGCCAATAATTATTATTCTAAACTAAAATTTATTTCAATATTAAACTTTCAATCCCAGGTATCAGTCTTTAACACCCAAAAATCCGCGCTGGCCCCGAATCTAAATTCTACTTTTGAGTAGAAGGCGTGATTGTAAGCAGCCATCTCTGCGCGCCGTGTCCTACGAAAGCATTAAGAACCTTGAAGAAGCATTTTCTATAATTAATTTTTACAAACTGTCAAGTTGCTAACAATTTCCTCTAGCCAACAATGTTTGCTCAATCACCCTGCCGCGCATATGTGCTGGTTTTGCAGTTTCGACCACAGATTAAACAGTTTAATGAAGCAAAGACTCTTTTGTGCGCAATACGCGAAGAACTAGTTATTATGGCGGCCCATGAATAATTCCGCACTGTCTTTTATGCACGCTATTTGTTTATTTGGTGGTGTCTCAATTTGGAGTTTGAATTTCGAAATTTGTGACCGTTGTTTCTGCCAGATAGATCAAAATAACCAATATACATATAGTGGTCTAACTGGCAACATATAATATGCAAACTCCTTCTTTTTTAGAAAAAAAAAGAAAGTGTTTCTTTTTCTATAGATTACTGCAATGACCAATAGTGTTAATAGTGATCCAAATCTTTGGTGTACATATACTAATATTATAAAGAGGAAAGATTTGATTGCTTGTATGTTTTTTTTTTGCATCGAATAGGCACCAAAATTACTGTACCGATATTCCCGTAAATTCTTTCATTTACAGGAAACGCCATCATATGCTGTGAACATAGACTTCATTTTATCCCAAAAAACAGTAAATAAAGGGATGGAAATGGGAATGGAAGTTTGTAGGGGAATTAAAACGGCACCATAGTTACAATTGATAACTTTTCATTTTGTCATTGTAGTTTTATCTTATATGAATCGATATGCAAATAAACAGGGACTTAAGGACCACGCGGATAAAGCCGCTGGCGGAAAGCTAGTTATTTATAGTTTGATAGCGATCCACCTAAGCAATTTAATCAACTTTCCAAGCGCATTCAAATAACTTATACCCCTTAATAGAAATTTAACCATGCAGTTTCAATTAAAAATCCTTTTTGAATATTACTAATGTCTAGAGTTTTCTTTCAACAGGCGGATTATGGAGCGTGGTTCTTCCGCTCCCTGGTCAAAAATCCTACAAGAGACCATCGGTGAATGGCGGCTGAACGGTGAAGCACTCCGGGACTACTTCAGACCTCTGGAAAACTGGCTGCAGAGTGAAAACTTGAGGACTGGCGAGTACCTTGGCTGGAGTTACGACGGTGACTATTGCAAGTTCAGGTGAGAAGATCTGCTGTTAAGCGATTTGTTTATACTTTGTAAATTATGAAAGTAGCTCGGTGGGGTAGTGGATAAGCGCCGCGGCCCGCGATTGTTGCCGTTAAGCAACTTTTACAAGGATCGGTCACGGGACGAGTGACCAAAAAATTATTATCTCGAGCTACTTCGTGCTTCGGAAGGCACGTTAAGGCGTTGGTCCCGGCTGCATTTGCAGTCGTTAATACGCATTGGGCCAGCGTGGAGGGTGGCCGATCCTTCTAACTATCCATAAGGAAGGCCTGAGTCCCTGCAGTGAGGATGTAAAAGGGTTAATGATGATGATTGTAAATTTATGAATAAATTTCCATATTATTAATTCTATAGTATAATCGTTAATAATGTAGAACCTTTTGATTATCTCTCTTTATAAACTCTTTCACTTCCACTTATAAAACAAAGCAGAGGCAAATTTATGGATCCGAAATTAAATCTATTATTTTTTGCTGTATCATTAATATCGGTATACCATTATGAGTATTTTGGTACATAAATTAATATAAATAAATTGATAAACTTATCTTAGGACCGATTAGAAAGACGGTATCTTATAAGTGATGTTCTTATAACTTCGTTAATGGATTATTAATTTCAAAACGTCTCTTATTCCAGTATCGAAACGGCTGGTCTACAAGTGTACGGAGGGTTCTACAATGCTGCTCATCGTAGCTTTGACCTCACCACATTCATCACCCTCTTCCTGGCGTCTTTCTTCATCACAATCGTTATACGTCGTTGGTGACCACTCTGATCACTATTCACCATTTAGTGTATGAACGTGTGCTATTATTTTGTTACTGTAATGTTTCTTTTGGTGAAACTATCAAAATTATTTCAGAGAATAAAGATTTTTTTTCTTTATTAAATTCTGTTATATTGTCTCACAATACTAAAGGTATAAAACCTGATTTATAAAAATTGTACAAAATAGAATATAATTCACATTGGAGTTCACATGAACTCACCAGATTTAAGACAAACTTTTATATATTCTAACAAGATAATCAGTTTGGATATGTCTATTAATTTAAGAAGTTTCATTATTAATTAATCTTTGATTGACTAACAAAAATAGTTGTTAATTTCACACTTTATATAGTAAAATGATTTGTCAAAACCGAGAAAAAACCAATAAGATATAGACACAAAAATATTATTTTCAATTTCAATATCAAGGTAGCAGTATTGTATTAAGTTTGTATATTTTATAGTTTTTAAGGTTTTGTTTTAATAATATTTTTGTAAATAGTATATAATGATTTAACATGATTTTTCGACAATTTGGAATGTGACAAAACAAAATAAAACTTTTTGCGTTTAAGATATTGTTTTTATTACAACCATACTATAAAAAACTATTTTTTTTTTTTGCTGTTATAAAGATAAATAAAAATATTTATATAAGGTTTTTAAAGATTATATTGGTAACCTTAAACAGTACACGAAAAAGCAAAGAGTAGAGTGACAAAGTCATTATGTTTTTAAAAAAAAAATATAAGATTAGACAGAGTATTCCTGTTACAAAACCAAGTAGGTTTAACAAATAATAATTTCAATGAATTCAGGCAATAAGAAAGGGCCTTCTAAGAACGGTCCTGTTTCCCTAGATCCTTGACAGTCACCTAGCCTGGACTATACGTGAGGGTGCAACAGAGGATTTTGAGAGCCCCGCACTTATCGGCCTCTCTTCCAGCGGTATGGCTGCCTAACTCTTTAATCATAGGGTACGTCACCATGTCGATGTTGTGACGATATTTCGTTTGATCCTAAATTTGGGATAAATCACTAATTTGGTAAGGCTGTTGTCAAATATATAATAATCATCTTTATCATTTGCTGGTCGTTAATAAATACATGTTAAAGTATTTAAATGAAAAGAAAAATAGACATAACATTACTAATTTGTTGTATTCTGAGGCTGGGATTATTACGATCAAGGTTACGACGGTCGCACGCCTGGTCGATGAAGTGTTAAAGCCAGTTTGGTTAAAAAATAAGAGCCTCCTAAGAAATTTCACTATGTTTGAAAGCCCGAATAACAAAACACCAACTAACATAAATATCAATAACAATCATACAATCAACAACTATACAAATAAAATGATTTATCCTGGATCAACTCATAATTAACCTAAACCGCTGATTGTATGAAGGAAAGGATTATTCGAAATTCGCTTCTTAAAGGGGTGGAAGATGGAAGCATAGTTTGTATGGAACAACGTTATTCCCTAATCCAATCTACTTCAAATTGCATAAACATTGTTAAGATGGAAGACGCGTTTCGTATTTTATTGAAACTCTTCGAACACTTTTAACGGGGTTAAAAGAGGTAGAAAGTTATTTTAGGGTGATTTGCGTCGAAATTGATATCAATAATCCTTAATGCTTTTTATTTACATTATACAAATTACATTTTATTTTGTTTAATATGTTTGAAACTTCAATCCTGTTAATTTAAATAATTGAGTTCTTAGGATTAAATATAATTAACTATCAGGAAGTAAAATACTCTAGAGATTACTTAATAAATATTGTAAAGACAAAAGTTTGTAGGTTTAGGTATTTATTATTCTTCGCATAAATATCGTACTATTCTGAACGGATTTTGATGACATTTGGCGTGTAGATAATTCTAAGCCTGTATTAACATGTTGGTTACTTTTTATCTTATAAACGGTTCCCTAAAGATAACATTACCATTAAGTAAGCCATTCTGGTGAAGCCTCTGGCGAAGAGCTACTCAAGTATGATTTAGTAGCGTACTAGTTTAACATTTTAGGGGTTGATTATTTCTAAATATAATTTTAGCTTTAAAGTTTGAACATTATAAAGGAGAATTTAAAAAACGCTATAAAGGACAACAAGTACAAAGAAGGCTGAAGTCGTTTCACGTAGGTAGATATTTCATATAAGGCTACTTACATTTTGATTGAACCAAATGGGTTGAAGATATAAAGATTGTAACTTTAAATTGTTTCACACATTTGTAAAATAGAACTGTATCTTTGCTCCGATCAATTATAGTAATAAAGAAGATAAGGAACAAGCAAACGAACGAGAAATCTTAAGAAAGGAAAATGGAATGAAATAAAATACTAAAATAGACATGTTTTCTTTAAATTAGAGTTTTTTCGAATTCCTCTAAGTAACAACATTGATTGGCAGTCATAAAACAATAATTAAATGAAAAAACAAAACTTTACTAATGCCAAAATAAATGTAATCGCCTTCCTTTGAGCATTATGAAAACACATTTATAGTTCAGTAGACATTTACTTGAGTCATACAGCGTACCTACTTAAATATTTTACTTTAGATGCCAAAATACACAACTACTACGACCTTAGACAGTCACTTTTAGTATTAAATTCCGTTAAAATAAATAGTTTTCATTCAATTAGCATTTAATGTTATATTTAGTGCACTTTTTTTTCAAATCACATAAAGAAAATATAGGTATGTATGTAATTTATTTTCTGGCAGAAAATTCTTCGTAATTTTTTCTGTTTTTCCATTTCTAAAATAAATAATATCAGTTCTATTAAAAATTCTTTCACAATTCAACTTAAAAATGGAACGTGTAATGCTATTTATTAATAATACCGAACGAGTTATAACGTAACCGCATACGGCATATAATCCCTACTAAGAAAGATATATTTAAATTCTTTCCTAAATTATTCTTGACAGGGGATACTTTGTAAATTGTTAACAAGCCCAGGAATATTTCAGAAGAAATTACAGAAAGTGTATTGGACAGCATATTAGTATTTATTATTGATGGTCATACATTTCTACCATAACGTTTATTTACAAATAAGTAGTAGACTTCCTTGCGATCACACCACGCATGAACTCCCCTACGCAAATAGTTTTATTGGTGTGAGAGCAAAATACTAGACGGGGGACACACCCACTCATATAACTCATATTCTAACGCGCTGCGACTGCGAGTTGTCTTCTTGTGACTTCTGATGCCCTGGTACATACGCGCATTCTGGCATACCAGTTGTTCGGGGTACTGCAAAAATTGATTTCGCTTTTTATGCAAAAATATTAATTGTTATTATTAATAATATGTGACGAGTCCTCAAGAGTCACGAGATCTTTAACTACATAAAAACAACGCCATCTCTTAATGCCCGGGCAAACTTTGAAAATGATCATTTGCTTTGTGTTTTAAATAAAAACGATTAAAAAATACCTTAGGCTTGCTGGATTATTTAAGCATTTTTCAATGAAAATATTTATCAGTATAGCATTTTGAATACAAGATTGCTCTTACTGTGAAACTATGATATCTAGCAAGAATTGCGAAAGTTGAATAGCATAGTTTCGTACAGTTTCGCAATTATAACAATGGACTTCCGCAAAATAACGCCTGTTTCTATTAAATGCAAAATTAATCAAACATATAAACTACCTTTGTGTTTGATACTTTTTTCTCGCAAATTTAATCATAATCATCAGCCAATAATATTCATACTGCTGACTTCAGGCATTCCCTATGAATGGAATCAAATAAACCCAGTGTGGATTTGTATAAAATGTATAAAGTTTTATACGTATCCTACTTCGGGGGTATATATTTAACGATTTCTTTGAATATGACTCATTTCGTGCAAACAAAACAAATAAAGCGCACACTAGTAACCCCCTTCACGTCAATGCGTCAAGTTGCCGCCCGTCTCGCCTATTACTGCAACATCTTATAACTACTGTGTCCCTAGTACTTTGGGTCACGATTATACGGGGTACGAGGCGGTCTCATGAGGGGCTTGTTGTTGATTTAAACTTGTCCGTTTTAACGGTTTTAACATTCATTATTTTAATCATTCTCATCATACCTAACCAAATCTTTTTATTTTCTCACAAAGTCTTATTCTAACCATATATCTATTTTTCTCGTATAGTTTTTTTTTTTGTATTATTTTATAGATATCTATTATCTTTTATAAGTAATTGAATAATTAAGCCAGTCAATGTATTCATTTTTCAATGTAATCTCACAGCAAAACCTTTATTAATTCTTAAGTCTTCCTTATATCTTATCACTAACTTTCCGCCAGCGGCTACGCCCGCGAGGTGTTCCCATTTTTGCAACATTTTTATTGGTACTCCACTAGTCCACTCCTGTTACTTATAGCTCGATATTATAACCCTATAACCTTTCTCAATAAATGGACTATTTAAAACAAAAATATAATTTAATATATAATTATTTTTAAATTACCAAACGAACGCGTTTGGTAATTTAAAAATAATTATATATAACCAAACAAATAAACAAAAGCTGCTGGGGCATAGGCCTGCCCGATAGATGGCAACTTGACGGTCAGCTTGTTTTCGCTTTCTCAATTCAATATTTTCAGATAGTTTAGTGCTTGACGCCAAATTTGATAACCAACTGATATTCTGCCTCCTCTTCAATTTGTTGGTAACGAACGAATATAGTTTCGTTTATTTTTTGTCCAATTTATTATTTAATTTTGATACTTTGAATTTTAGTATAGAAAACTAACTTTCCATCAGCGGCTTCGCCCACGTAGACCCCAGGGAACTGTTTTGCGGAATGAAAAGTAGCCTATATGTTTGGCTTAAAATTATCTGTAAACCAAATTCCATCAAAATCCGTTGGTTATTTTGTGCATGAAGAAGTAACAAACATCTAAAGTTTCTCCTTTATAAAATTAGTACTTATTTACACTTGTGTAAACAGCTTAAATTATATAGCCTATGTCC